ATATTGAGATCGATCTACTCCAATTGGACTTTGTGTACACTACCTATCGCATGGAACCCAATCTCACCGATCGTGTACGCCTTCCCAAACAACTCTATTTCCACACGTGGTGCCCTCGTCTCATACAAAAGAGCATTTCAGATGATGCTGGTACACTGGAACTGCTTCACAATGCGGACATTCCACGCAGGATGATCCTGTTCTTCACAGATTTGACGCATGGTACACAGCCAGCATTGGCTGGAGGTGAAGCATCGCATTCTTCGAACAGACTGGCCATGATTCATGCAAATCTCAGTCAACTTCGTGTCACTGTCAACGACCAGACGCTCTTTGACAACCCGCTCAAGTTCCAGTGGGATGTGAGTCGTAATACTGAAGGGCAATACTTCTACGATTACAACAAATCCTCCTACCTGCGTGGCTACAATCTGGTTCAAGACTTTTTCGGCAAGACGTATGGAACGCAAATCCCCATCACCGCTGCAGATTACTGCAATCACTACTTTATGGTGCCTATCAACTTGAATCTGGATCGGACCACAGACAATCCAAGATCGAGAGGAAATCTGTCCATCGACTATCAATTTAGCGACGTGACAAACGCCCCCGTGAGGAGACCTAGTGAAAATGGTGCCTCGATCAAAGTCAACCTTCTCTGCATGGACAAGTACTTGTACACCATGAGCAAAGATGAAGGTATCAAAGCCGAAGTTGTATGAATTAATTCCGACCTAGTAGTAAAAGGGCATCATGGAAGGTGGTGACCTGGAGACCAGACATCGTGTCTACGGTGGTGATTTGAAAACATCGAGTCGACAACACGGTGGATTCTTCTGGAAAAAGAGCTTCTGGAAAAACCTAATCGGTGCTGGACCGGATGAGATGGAAAAGCAGATGGCGGAACCCACGACAAAACAAGATGCAATGCAACGCGGTGGACTTGGACCCCTGGCTGCCATGGCAGGAATGACACTTCTTCCCATGCTTTTGGGGAGAGGAGAGTCCGGAGACATTGTGGAAACGCAAATGAAAACAGCTTACAACCCTGCCATGCACCGAGGAGGTCTAGCCATTCCACCAGGATTAGCCGCCAAGGCCATACCACTCCTGACGAACCTGGCTGCTCCCTTGGCCATGGGTACCATGGCATCACTGGGTGACAACGTAATGGATAAAATATTCGGCAGAGGAGTAAGGAAGGGAAGCTCAGCAGGTGCCATGAAGCGCACTAAAAGTCGTCGTCGTCGGCATGCACCGAAGAAGATTCGTCAACGAGCATCTCGAAAAACCAAGAAGCCAGCTCGTCAAGTTCGCTCCAAAGGCCGCAGGGCACGAGGAATAAAGAAACAAGGAAGGGCCTTGTTCAAAAAACTAGGACATCGTGCCCTCGACGAAGCTTCATCGTTCCTGTCTGCACCTCGTAGATCCCTAACCCGTCCTGAAACTCCATTTGCTCAAAAAATTCGACAGAACATTAACAGTGCAGGACCGTCTTCTATGAGTTCCGCTCACATCGGTCCATCCTACAACATCTGATCATGGACTTTATCTCGCTCCTTGGACAGGAAATCGGGAGGAAGAAAAAGACTAGTCCCGTAAGGAACGACGATGTTCCGACCACGGCCACTGCTCGACACGGGCTGCACATTCCTGGTCTTCAGTTCGAGTCTAAGGATTGGTTCACGGAAATCATTCCTGCTCTGAAATCCTGGGGTCAAAACGTATTGTTTCTGGGACAGAGCAACATGGGTAAATCCTACTTTCTCATCAAGCTCCTGAAACGTGTGCAACCTGAGCGTATAGTTGTCATCTCCAACACGCCGGCCGATCAGTATCGTCTCCCAAGCCTCAAATCCTTCAAGCATTACAGCACCATGCCCGAGTGTATCGAAGACATGGATCTCCAGCCTAACACCTATGTGATCATTGATGACATCAGAGTGATGGGTTTGAAGCACGGCAGCCAAAGAGAGTGTCTCTACAAGTTCTTCACCATGTACAGTCATCATCATAAGTTGAACGTGTTCTTTCTCTCTCAGAGCTTTGATAACATTAAGGACATGAAGATCAATGCAAACTTTATGTATCTATTTCGCTTCACTGATAAAAGCAATATCAAGCGTTATCTCAATACTCTGTTTGGTGGTCTGTGCACGAAGTCATCCATTATCTTTAGATTGTATGAGAAGTTATTGGCGGTGTGTCGCAGACCTATCCTAACCATTGATTGCTCTTCTAATCAGTACTACACGTATTGCGAAGACACTGCATTAAAGGTGACTTTTGAATAAAAACCTCGTTGATGTGCGTGTTTAGCCGAAAGGTTAGCCGAAAAGTTAGCCGAAAAGTTAGCCGAAAAGTTAGCCGAAAAGTTAGCCGAAAAGTTAGCCGAAAAGTTAGCCGAAAAGTTAGCCGAAAAGTTAGCCGAAAAGTTAGCCGAAACATTGAAAAAAAATTCCAATCATGAATAAGAATGGAGCATCTTACGGTGAAATTCTCAAATGGGCTACCGAGCAGTATACAGAGGGTGGGGTCCAGAAAGGGATCCTTCTCGATACCCAAGCGTAAAAGGTTGCAAACCTTGCAGTTTATGTCGAAACATCCTCAACACATCCTCAGGAAGAGAGTAAATTCGTGTGAAGTTCTCGGTATACCACCACTCATGCGGCAAAAAGGAGGTAATAACTACAATACCTACTTGAAAAGCGTCAAGAAAGTTCTTTCCCAAGTGCCAGATCACAGTTTGAGCACCTCCACCCTGTTGGAACTGCAAGCTGATCCGCGAGTAAAGCGTCTATATGACACCCACTTCAAAAACAATCCCGATCACATCAGTTACCCGTCTGTGAGAAATGTGATTGCATCCAACATACTCAACTATGATTCCACTACCGATCAAGTTCGCGATTCCGTTGCAGATGTCAGGAAGAAGAGAAAGGCACCTTTAACATCGGTGCCTTTCAATCTATTACAAGACCACGAATTTGACCGATGGATCCTACAAATCCTGGACAGTTTCCTCCGACATACAAATATACCGGCAACCTTTTTGAAGAGCAACTATTTCACAAGCCGATCACAACTGCTGCAACTCTACGATGAAGATCGACTGAGGTTCAGGAGTCGGGTGGAAGCGGCTGCGGATGCCCTGAAGACGCAGACGATGAACGACTACACTACTCTGGTCAACGAGACGAATCGCATCTACATGTCCAGGTACCCGTTTGCAACCATAGCGGGTGCGGTGGGAATCCACAAACATGTCGATGGATTCCTTCGATCAGAACGAAAGATTCATGAACTAGCCACCCTAGTGCTAGCTGTACCAGGATCGCAGCTCAAGTTTCAAGATCTCAACGATATGACTTCTACGTATGGTAGAACAACTGAAGCAAAATTGATCCATCCCGAGCATTTCATGATCAGAGCACAAAAGGTGATGGTGGACGATGCATCATTCATTCAAGAGGTTCTGAAGGATAAAAGCAGGATCACTCGTATCATCAAGGATATCCTGAGTGGACGTTCAATGTGATCACGTGCGCGAAAATTTTCAGGCTATGATCAAGAATGGACTACCCTCTCAGCAGTGCCGACATCAAAGGAAGATTGAATGGTGTTGGAGGGTTCGTGGGGTGTACAAGTTACGACCTCTTACCACCCTTGAACAATGGAGACTTTTGTATCGTCAACACCGACAACGTTCTACCGGTGTACGATGCACCGGAAGGTGGACATCATTGGTTGACCGTGTGTCGCGAGCAAAACGTGATCCTGGTTTTTGACAGTTTCGGACGCAGTCTATACACTATGGAGCAAGATTACACTGAACCTGCACTGTGCGATTTCTTTAAAGAAGCCTATGCAGACTGTAAGATCATCACCAACACCCAAGCCGTTCAAGACAGAAGCACAGCAGTATGTGGATGGTATGCCATATTGATGGGAAAGCTATTTTCCAAATATGGTCTGGATGAAGCACTTCGAACTTTCCGAAGAGTCTTCGATGAGGATGAAAAGCTGGAAAACGATCAACTGGTTCTCAGTTTAGGTGTCTTGCGAGGTGGTGGAGCCTTGTGGGATACGAAAGTGCAAAAAGCACTTCATGATGGAAGACAGAAGAAGAAGTCGCAGTCCACACCATTCCACACGCAACTGGCTAACGAATTGCACAAACCCAGACGAGTGCATTTCAAAAGACGCAAGGTGAAGAGCAGGTCTGTGGATCACATCTGGAGTGCCGATCTAGTGGATATGCAACGGTTTGCCCGAAGCAACAAGAACTACAAATTCCTGCTGACCGTCATCGATCTGTACAGTCGCTATGCCTGGGCAGTACCCCTGAAAACCAAAACTGGCTCTGCTGTCAGGGATGCATTCGACATGATCCTGAAAACATCGAACAGGGTACCACAAAAACTATGGGTAGACGAAGGCAAGGAGTTCTACAATGCAACAATGAAGCAATGGGTCAAGGATCACAACATCATCATGTACAGCACCCACAACGAAGGAAAAGCCGTGGTGGTGGAACGCTTCAATAGAACACTGAAAGGCAGAATGTGGCGCCATTTCACGGAGAAAGCTACGACACAGTATCTTGACGTCCTTCCTCAGCTTATGGTCAAGTACAACAGCTCGAAACATCGCAGTATCGGCATGAGTCCCACGAAAGCTTCTCTTGATGGAAAACCAAAAGATGCAGACGTACACTCGAAGCAATCACCAGCAAAATTCAAAGTGGGTGATGATGTGCGTTTGGCTGTAGCTAAACGTCATTTCGAGAAAGGGTACACGCCCAACTGGACAGAGGAAGTGTTCGTGGTAAACGATGTCCTACCCACTGTACCCCACACCTATCGTGTTCAAGACCTGATGGGAGAAGTCATTCAAGGACAGTTCTATGGAGCTGAGCTACAACATGCCAGACACACAGGATTGAGATTCGATAAGGTGTTGAAATACAACAAGAACAGTCGGCTCGTCAAATGGAGGGGTTATCAAGACGAAAAATTCCATACCTGGTTAACAAAGAAGGATGTGAATGATCTCAAAAAGTATTAGCATTTCATATGTACAATGTAGCTCATGCTTTGGATTAACGTGAATATTATGAATCGCATAGTATTTACAATGTATTTCATGAGAAGATATGACATATGCTCTAGTATGTGTGGAAATCCCTCAGTGCTTTGGAATATCCCTGTGTCCGAATGCCAGGGTGTTGATACCATCCTCCAGAATGTAACGCTTACTGTCGAATCCACTGAGGGCAATCTTGCGTAGCTCCTCTCCGTGAATGCAATGTCGTCGACTTCGAAGAACATTCATTGTTCTCTTCAGCTGAGACTCCTCGACGAGACATGTTCGATAATCATCGACGGTTATGGTGTTTTTCAACACGCTTCTCTGCACACCTTTGGCACGCTTGCCATTGTCGTCGTTGTCTTCACAGCGGTATGCGTACATCTTGCTCCGCAAACCAATGAACTCCTTGATGGGTTTGCCACCTAGTTCGTCCTTGAACTTCCCTACCACCTTCTTGTTGACCGTGCTGTACAGGTGGTGGGATGGTGAATAGTTGGATGTGTCATAGGCTGTTATGTTGTTTGACATATCGGTGTACAGATCATCGGTTTGAATATGTACGATCAGACTATCAGTATCAGTGTAGAGCAAACGTACATTTTGTCCATAGCGGGGTAGGAGAACTTCATAGTAAAAGGAATACATCAAGTGCTTCGACAGATCGAGGATGGCTGTACCCACATAAATGGGTTTATTGAGAGTCACCTTTGTCCTGGCAAACTCGATTGCTATCAGATCGTTCTCAAAGGCTACACTGCGGATGTACGAAGGTTTGTTGATGCTTTTCTGGAGACGTGGTTTTTCATCCTGTTCACGAATGAGCTTGATGTTTACTCTGTTTCGAACGTTTTCCATGGTCTTGCCATATACAGCATTGTTCATCAACTATGATAAACAGGCATACAAAGAAAAGACAAGAAAAACAACAATAAGAAAACTGTTATCTTCAGGTCATTCACACTTCCAGTACATACTAGATCCCACACTATCGCTAAATACACACACACACACACACACATGAAGTGGAGTACCTACCTTATAGAAGTCTTTCTCGAAATCAGAAGTTGATAGCTTTCTCAGGTCAGTATTAGTGTCGATGTATGGCTTCATCCATGGGTGTTGTGTGAAGGAGAGCACACGATGCACATCTGTAATCTCCACACCCAAGGACACATACTGCTGCAAGTTTCTGTAGTGCAGAACATAGTGCTCTTTCGGTAGTAGATTTGGCACCAGTTTCTTCGCTTCCAAACCGCTCACCTACAAGAGTACAGTATAGATATACACAAACCTTAGAAGATTAATACAAGCATATCCACCAGATAGACCATGACTTACCATTAGTTTCTCTGCCATGTGGGTCTGATATGGAGAAAGCATATCTCGTGTCACCTTCATCTGCTCAGGAGCCAACGGATAATCATTCATCATGTCATGCACACCATCTGGAATCCTTAAATCGCACTCCACCATGTATCCCGTCGAAGAGTCCATTGGATGATCGAGTACCGACTCCAGAAGATCATCCGTCACTGCTTCAAAGCAGAAGTCCGACACGGGCAAGGGTTGAGACATGGCCCATCCATATAGATTGTTCGCATCTAAATATTGGATGAAGCTTGACGGCTCGTCTGGATTGTATTCCGATAGATATCTGTTGTTGGCGGTGGCGTGTCTAGCGGACACCATGCTTATGCCACCTCTTTTGCCATGCTCAATGAAGTTGAACATGTCAATGTCGGAAATGAGATGAAGGGACACCTTCGTCATTTTCAGCAGCGAATCCCAGGCAAATCCCGGTAAGGTGAGGTAATTAGCGGGATCCAATCCATAGGTTGCGTGAGCAGTTCTTCTGAAGTTTTCGAAAACGTCAGCCAACAGCAGCACATCAGTCTCCAGGTAGAGGTCGTGATAGTCTCCTAGATCTTCACAGTCAAACGCAGTCCATACTGTTTGCGCATAGGCATAATCTTCATCACTGATACCCTAGGGAATAGAAAATGTACACCAAAAAGAAAAACAAATCAACGAACTTATTTTAGTAGTTCGCCCACACAATCAATTATTTAGTATGAAGCTGCAGGAAGCGTTCAAACACATTTTGGCTTATTTTAGTACTTCGAAGTAAGATGGTGAAAAAAGAAAGAGAGAAAGATCTACTATATCTGTCACACTACTCACCGTGTTCGTTAGCGTTGAGTGGAATGCATCCTTGGGTGGTAGACGCGTTTCTTCGAATTGGTCGTACGACTCCATATATTCATACGGGTAGACACCCTTTCGTGTCAACAGTTTGCGTTCATCCTCGTCTGGAAATCGTGCGGATAGAAGGGCGAATGCATCTGGTGGTGTAGCCGAAACCAACCGGTCTAGGGAGGTGTTCAAGAATGCCAGGCTGTCGATGAACTGGAACTGTCTCCATCCGAATGTGACATATTTTTCACTGTTGATGGGAATCACGTTGATAGCACCGAGACGCTTGGTCTGAGAAGAAGAAAGAAAAAGAGGAGACACAGTTTTAAGGTGCAGCTGTAAAGATGAATATCAATCATATAAACGTGAATATGAGTACCAACATAGTAATGATCTTCCTTCTTAGAAAAACATCATGATCCACGCACACACACACGCACACACACACACACACACACACACACACACACACACCACGCATATGTAACGTACCCGTTCTTGTCCTTTCTCGTTCACATACGTAATCTCATCAATGGACGTTCTCCCAATGGCAGATATGATGTGATGAGAATCGTATCCCTTCAAGTTATGAAAGATCACAGGAATCTTGATCTTGAACGGCTCAATCCGCATGTTCAGGTTACAATGGTTGTGTGCTGCACCACGATAAGCACCGGTGATGTGACAGTGGTCACGTACACGATCGCTACCCAACGCTTCACCACAGATCCAACAGGAGACTACCGTTTCAAATTCACGTTGCTGACTTTCTGAAATGATCATTTGACCAGCATTACATGCTAGAAGCTCATCACGGATAGTCTCCTCCTCTTGCTCAAGTGACAGCAGAAAACAGAACATAGAATCTTCTCCACGGTAGAAGAAACGGTTCGTGACGACGCCATCAGATCGTACTACAATGTACGAACAGGAACAGGCTACATGCTTGTTCTTTTGGAATGTCGAATGACCGATTTTATTGTCAGCGGACAGAGGTTCTATGAAAGCCTCACAATCGGCATAGATCACCTGCATTTGAGAGAGAGAGAGAGAGAGAGCGAGAGAGAGAAGTAGGAATAGCAGCAGGGACAACACCGAGTAAAACAGCAGAAAAGACAGCTAGAGAATTAGGAATAGCTGCAGAGACAACACCGAGTAAAACAGCAGAAAGGTGAACACTCAGAGTCAAGAAACATGTGCAGTAAAGAAAGAAAAAAAAAAAAAACAGACCACAGTGTGTTCTACTTACAAATGGGGCTTGAAGCTGCTTGTTCACATTCCTGAACATCACTCTATCGCCAGCCTTTGGCATCTCCACCGTAGCTTCAGGATGTTCACTGCAGTACATCATATGATTATTCAATGCCTTCTCCGTGACGTGTGTTGAGAGACATCTGAAGCAGACGAAATGTGCTCGACGTGCTCCAGTAGCAACAAGACGACTGAATGACTTTATCCACACCCAGTGCTGCACCTCCACGTCATTGCGTTCGTCTTGGATGAGCAATACATTGATGGCGGACTGCGGTTGCTGAGAAATTCTTAACGGATATATGACTTTCTCTTCATATCCGAAGACGTTGATGTAAAGACCGTCGTTCAGTCTTTCGATGACTGGTATGTCTTCCAGTTTTGCTGGAAACTCGATGCCGCTCACATCCACAGTATCCGCATGTTCTGCGTACGACGATTGACGACATGGACGAGACTTGTCTGCCGAAAATTTAGCAGCCAGTATTGACCATCTAAAGTACGGATGACATAAGACATGGACAGGCGGCATACAGTTCAATCCATACACCATAACACAACACTGAAACCCCACTGCTATACTTACAGTAAACACTTGTTGTCAGTGTTCTGCACGTTAACAATGGCCTTCTTCGACTTCAACTCCGGTGGCAAGGGGATGTACGAACTTCCTCCAAGTACACAATAGCGTGACATTTCGATGTGTAAACAGGAAATCCGTTCAACTACCCAACCTGATCCATGACGAACGAAATCATCAAGACGAGCGTTGATCTGAGCAATCATTGTACTGAGAAGGTCCCTCAGCTCCATGGTGTTGAGCACCAGCGTTGTACTCGATCGGAAGAAGAATGTGTTGGAAACCATTTGTCCTGTAGCAGGATTCAGCTTCTGCATCACCACCTGAACTACCAAAGAACACTTGTACTGACCCCATTGCTCAATATTCTCTTCAAGAAGCAGCTCCAGCGACGGTAGAACATGAGAGAAAAACTTTAGTACATCTGCAAACTCTTGATCAGGACAATAACTAAAGAATTGCAACAGATCAGATGATCTCACTACATCAAAAGACTGACGAGGTTTCTTCCGAAGGGGTTCCATCCTGAGCAGGGGTGGTGGCGGACAACCACACAATGGCTTGACAAGGTACCGAGGACCTATTTTTATAGGGTTTTCGTAATAGTTGAATTCGGAATAACTGGTTGTTTTTCAATTAACCAATCCACTCATCTCCCGCTGGAAACAATTAACCACTTACCGCACTTCCCGCTGAAAACATGTGACCAATTAGCGCACTTCCCGCTGAAATCACGTTCATCCTTTTATCGCGCATTGACCCATGTTCCACACTTCACAGTGAAATCAGTGCTGCAATGATGTACTGTGACGTCAATGCATGGATGCCTTGAAAATGATCCGAAAAATTGAAATTACAAGTCAAAATACTGCAAAACTATGAGTTCTGATTAATATAAAATTGGAAAAAGTGAGATAACATTGACATTTGAAATAGTAATATTTTAGACATCGGAATGCAATATTATGATGTAGGGTAGGACATATTACCCACACCCTAAAAATCAAAATTAATGATACATGTAGAATTCCAAATCATGACACCATATTACCTTATTGTTTAGGGTAGAGCATAACACCCCAATACATATTTTCAATAATACCCCCTTTTTTTTTGAGGTAGGGGCACCCCCTGGCACATATTTTTATCCGCAAAAAAACCGGGCCAAAAATAATTTTCACCGCAAAAATGGGGTACTATTAGTACCCCATTTTTCAATAATACCCCATTTTTTGGGACCAGGGCGCCCCCTGTCCCAGAACCCGCTCGTTACTTCCTACTAACGTGGTATGGTCAATACCGTAGTTACCGTAGCGTGTCGGACCCAATGTTGCTTTGTCCGTCAGACACACGTGTGTGTGTTTTGTGTAGGTGTGTGTGTGTGTGTGTGTGTGTGTGTGTGTGTGTGTGTGTGTGTGTGTGTGTGTGTGTGTGTGCGCGCGTGTGTGTGTGTGCGTGTGTGTGTATGTGTGACGCCGCATGTGCGGGCATGTGTGTTTGCATGTGTGCGTTCGAGTTTTCGTCTGCTTGTTTGTTGTGCATGTGTGTGTGTTTGTGTGTGTGTGCATGTGTTACTGCTACAGGGCGCATGGTCATGCTATATTCACTTACATGGGCTCATCAGGCGAATCATCCGTGACAACTACGACCTTGTCGTTGCTCGTGGTCCTGAACACACACACACACACACACACACACACAAACCCACCCACACACACACACGCACACTCATCAAAACAGAGAAAGCCGGGGCATCACACACGGCTTGGCAGGTACGACCATGGTTGCACCACTTTTCGTCCATGATGCATCGATTGCCTGTGCACGTCATCCGAAAGAGCGATGAAGGAGTTTTAAAACGTGCCCTGTTGGCCGAAAAATCCGTTTTTTCCATGTGGCTCACCGGATCTCTGGTCATATCACTCTTCACTGCTTTATGTTGAAAGTAAAGCTGTGAATGAGGTGCAGGCGCGAATAGGCTCAAAAAAACGTCTCCATGACAACAACACTACCTTACCCCCAAGAGTGTGCAACTCCAGCTACGGGGTCGGCGACGGCAGAACTTCACATCGCGTGACAAGCTGGTGCACATTTTCTTTCACCCGGTGCATGATAGATGCAGGGTGGTCCGCAGGTAACGCAACCCTGCTTTTTTTAGGGGAGTTCAACTCTCTTATGGTCACGTTGCAATGTGCGCCAATGTAACATATTGAACCGCGTCAACATGATGTGAAGCTCGCGCGTCGCAGCACTGTATAGAAGTTGTGCAGGCAGTTGCACACTCAGAGTTTTTCTGATCTTTTCTTTTCTTTTTTAACGCAGCCCTACTGGAAAACAGGTGGAGAACAAAAAGAAACGAGGAAAAGGACAAAACATAGGGGGCGTAGGGACGACGTGCCGCTCTTGCTGACATTCATTCGAAGTGATCCCTTCGGTTTTATCTAGATTTGCACATTGCCACTGCAGCTCTTGTCTGATTTTGAATGTGAAACTTTGTTTTGGGTTTTGCTTAGACCTGTTGATTTCATTTTAAGCTAAAAATCTCAATTTCTCGAATTTGTCACTCGTTAGGTTCTGCACCTAGGGCATAATCGTTTTGGGTGAATCCCTAGCAAGTGCGCTCCAAGGGAGCGTGAGCGTTGGGACGAATACAGGTGTACTTGGAGTGCAAGCGGATCACACCGGGGCCCCCACACCGGTAGTGACTGGATTGGAAATGGACTTTGACACACACACACACACCTCAGACCTCAGACCTCAGACATGCCCACCGCGGGAGCGATGATAGCGAACACAGCTATGTTTTAGACATAGCAACTTGTGCTGGGATTACACCATCCAACAGCTTGCAAGGCTGATGAATTGACCGCCGCTATTTTTAGCCTGGTATCCACCACACAGCTGTTTGAAGTGACTTTTTCTGGCCAGTGAATCCCTATTTTTCATTTTTCCATTTTTTTTCTTTTTTTCTTTTTCTACACACACAACACACCACATACTCCGGCATACACTGGCTGTTGGTAACCACCCAGGAGAATGAAAGAAAAGTCAGGAAGAGTCTGAGAAAGAGAAGAAAGACGTGTGTAACCATAATCGCCGGGAATCAAACCCGCAACCTATCGATTGGAAATCGCTGCACATACCACTGCACCATATGGGACACACACACACAAACACACACACACACACACACAAACACACACACACACACACACACAACAGATCTACACAAACACGACAGATACCCCCCCCCCCCTCCCCACACACCGTTGAAACACAACAGATATGCACACGCACACATACACGCATGCATGCACACATACACACATGCATGCACACATGGAGACACGCCAGACATACCCCCCCCCCCCCCACACACACACACATAACAGATCTGTTTCTAAGTACTTACGAGGGTTTGAGAGGTGCTGTGGTTGCCACTGTCTCAGGGTCCACAGCTTTTGTTTGGATTGGAGACAAGACACTGCACATGTGAAAATGATCAAAAGCAAACATCAGAACAGAGGTGAAAACATGCTATTTCAACAACTAAACTTTTGAAGAATTTTAAAATGCAAGTTGTGCCCCATATGGGTCAGTGGAACGGTGTAGTGTAACTTGCTGTGAAAATATCTTAGGTTTAATTTTGGATGGTGAAATGTTTGCAGTGGAGACTACCTTCAAGAGAATGCCCGTCGGAGGACATGAGGGCATTAGGCTTGGAGACAAGAGATCATGGGGACACTGGGCATGGGGCATCGGGCATAGGAACATGGAGGATCGGGGACCTAGGTCAAGGGGACATGAAACAAGGGGAGCATGGGGTGTAGGAACATGGAGAATCGGAGATATGGGGCAAGGGGTAAGGGGCATGTGAACATGGAGGCTTGGGGACATGGGTGCAAGGGGCCGGGGCGGGGTGGGACAAGGGGACATGGGGCAAGGGGCCATGGGACATCAGTCGGGGAGATGTCCTATCTAGGACATCGCACTCTGAATGAGTCTGATTGGTTACCTGTCCCAGAGTTGTCATGGAAGCGTCGGTCGCGCACACGCGATGAAAAGAAGTGCTGCGTGAGCATTTCTGAATGTATGTGGAGGATGCACGATCGTAATGGCGATGGATTTCTTTCCGAATTGGTCAAGTTTGAGAGAATAGGCGGAGAATATCAGACATCGGCGGGGATTGAGGTAGTGTATATTCGATTCTCCATCGAATACCCGACCGAATGGCCGTTTTCGTTTGGGGATTTCATGTGGGGTTTCTCGTAGCCACGCGGCGCTTCCAGTTTGGAAACGATTGGTTCTAATTTTGAATATTTTGCCTTTGGAATGTTTCTTCACCATGTTCACGCCCCGTGCGTTCATTTCGCCCCAAACCTGGCCATGCAGAGGAGGAAGACGAGCCAGCAGGCGCTAGGCCCGTAAATTACTGCCTGGAAGATATTATTTGGCCAAAGCTTGCTGTTGGCGTTTTTGATTTCTTGGATACGACAGCTCCGACTGGACCTTGGACGGTCTTTCTTGGATATCAACCCAGGACGTGGTGGTCATGGACGTATCGCCATCGCTTTCAGCCAGATCCTTCTGCTGCCTGAAGCCAATGGCGAAAGTAAAAACTTTATCGCAGCAGCAGCTACTGCTCTGCTGAAAGTGCGAACACAAAATTGCTTCGCCAATCCTCTTGTGCACTTGCAATTTTCAATGTGACCAAAACGATTCGCTTGCCAGTTCCTTTGTCCAGGCGTACTCCACAACGAGGAAAATAAAATTCGTGAAGGCAAGAGGCAAGATACGAATCTCGACTCGCTTGAGGCAAGCCGCCAGGAGAACGACAACTAATAATTACTTTTGAGACGAAAGGCCTTCGGCTTCGTTGCGTTTGTTTTGAGTGCGATATGTTCATCTTCCTCGGACGCGACACAAAGTTTTGAGTCACGTGTCACGATTACTATGGGAACAGCATAGTATGTATGCTGGGGCATGCTGGGTTCCGTGATGTCCTATCTAGGACATCACCAGGACTGGACATGGGGCATAGGAACATGGAGGCTTGGGGAGATGGGGCAAGA